TATATACAACACACAGCTCAATCGTATATACAACACACAGCTCAACCGTATATACAACATACAGCTTAACCGTATATACAACACACAGCTCAACCCAACCGTGTATACAACACACAGCTCAACCATATATACAACACACAGCTCAACTGTATATACAACACACAGCTCAACCGTATATACAACATATAGCTCAACCGTATATACTACACACAGCTCAATCTAACCGTATATACAACACACAGCTCAATCGTATATACAACACACAGCTCAACCGTATATACAACATACAGCTCAACCGTATATACAACACATAGCTCAACCCAACTGTGTATACAACACACAGTTCAACTGTACGTACAACACACAGCTCAGCCGTATATACAACACACAGCTCAACCGTATATACAATACACAGCTCAAGGGCCCTGACGGTTCATACTCATGTGTTCTCATACCTTCACCGAAGTTCTCATGCTTTATGCCTCCTTGACATTCCATAGTAAATGCTAAATCACTCACTAAACCCCTAAAACCCAGACATCCCATATTAAGTATACTAAATCTAGTGTGTCCGTGACACTCAGGTGGCGCCGGTAACGCGCAAAGAGCACAGCCGATGGAACTCGCCCAGGGCTAAACGGTGGTTGCACATCAGTGATATGCTCGATTGGAGAGGGAAGGACGGTGAGTTTTTATTGCTTGCATAAACTTGGTTTATACTATAGACCACAGTCTGTGTACAGGGTGGATGATTATAAATGATATGCTCGTTTGGATGGGAAAGGATGGTATGTGTTTACCAGTGAAACAAACTTGGTTTCTGTTATAGACCGCAGCATGCATATCGGGTGGTTGGCTATACATGAGATGGCCAATTTGATGGGGAAGGATGGTAAAGGCATGGTAAGTGTTTACTAATCGAATAAACTTGGTTGATGCTATTGATCTGAATATGTGTGGGAATATGTGTGGGGCTGTGTTTTTTTACTTCATTCTCGTATACGCAATTTATAAATAAAACTATTCTCGTTCTCCTATACACAATTTATAAATAGATATATTCCCATTCTCGTATACACCAGTTTATAATTAGATCCTTTTCCATTCGCGTATACGCAGTTTATACGTATAATCATTCCCATTATCCTACACACAATTTATAAATAGATATATCCCATTCTCCTATACACAATTAATAAATAGAACCATTCTCATTCTCCTATACGCAATAAATAGAATTATCCCCATTCTCGTATAGATAATTTTTAAATAGAATCATACCCATTCTCGTATAGATAGTTTATAAATAGAACCATCCCCCTTCTCGTATAGATAATCTATAAATAGAATCATCACCATTCTCGTATAGATAGTCTATAAATAGAATCATCCCCATTCTCGTACACAAAATTTTGAAATGGCACTATTCCCCTTCTCGTGTTTACGTAACGATTTGGCATACGAACATATAAATAGAATCACTCACCTTCTCACATCCGCCCTATCTAAGTCTCACTCCCTCATTTCCGTCCACAGTGTTAAAGCTTCAGATCAGGCATACGGTACACCGGGCCGTTCTATTTATAGCATTGAGTCTGGCTGTGTATTGGCCTATATCCGCCGCAGTACTCACCATTGTGGTGAGTACTTACAGACGATTGGTGCCTTGGGAGGCGACCGTGTTCTTTGGCGTGCTGGGAGTTGTCGTAGGTATGTGGAAGCGGGCGTGAGGAATTTTGTATGAGGATGTATGTATATATATATATATGTCCATAACTATAGATATAATGTGTATTTGCGCAGGTATATATATGTATGCACATACCGATAGACAGAATATGTTAATGGGCATATATATATATATATATATATATGTATGGATGAAGCACATAACCAGACGGTAAGCACGCAGACAGACATGCTCACGCGAGCACTAATTTTGTTCCGCACTTTGTTTACATAACTACGTGTGTCCAAAGGCGTACCGAAGTATGTTCGCAGTCATACTCAATTGTTGCAATGTTCGATTACATACGTGAAGTATGTACCAGTTGGTGGCATATGAGTGAAAATAGATGACCTTAAAACATAATAAAAACCCAGTTCACACAATTTGCACAACCCTGCACACTGGAAGTCATATGGTTGTGATTTACTCTTGTCCACAGCTGCCTCATCAAGCCCAATCGTTGCGTTTGTGGCTATGCTCAATGCAGCAGCCGATGCACCTATACTCCAGGTATGACCAGCATTCGGAATAGTTGTGATTCTCAACAATATATATATATTATATATATATACATATATGTATGTATGTACATATGTATATATATATATATATGTATGTATATTATATANAATTATAATATAATATATATATATATATTATATNTAATATATATTATNT